CACGAAATTCCATAATTTGGTGTTTTGTTGATGGTGGTGGAAAACGCTGTCTCGAGAGCTGCTCCAGAATATCCCATAAGTCTTCAACTGGGTTGAGATCTGGTGACTGAGACACACACACACACACACACACAAATCTAATCAAATCAAATGTTATTTGTCACATGCTTCGTAAACAACAGGTGTAGACTAACAGTGAAACGCTTACTTTCGGCCCTTCCCAACAATGCAGAGAAAAATAGAAAAAGAATAGCACAAGGAATAAATGCACAATGAGTAATGATAACTTGGCTATAGAAGCTGTTCAGGGTCCTGTTGGTTCCAGACATGGTGCATCAGTACCACTTGCCATGCGGTAGCAGAGAGAACAGTCTATGACTTGAGTGGCTGGAGTTTTTGACAATTTTTAGGGCCTTCCTCTGACACCGCCTGGTATTGAGGTCCTGGATGGCAGGGAGCTCGGCCCCAGTGATGTAGCGCCTTGCGGTCGGATGCCAAGCAGTTGCCATACCAAGCGGTGATGCAGCCAGTCAAGATGCTCTCAATGGTGCAGCGGTAGAACATTTTAGGGCCCATGCTAAATCTTTTCAGCCTGCTGAGGGGGAAGAGGAGTTGTCGTGCCTTCTTCACGACTGTGTTGGTGTGTTTGGACCATGATAGGTCCTTAGTGATGTGGACTCAGAGGAACTTGAAGCTCTCGAAAAATGAGGTAAAACAGATTTTAGTTTCCCTGCATTAAAATCGAGATGTGCATTTTCTTGTTTTCTTATGGCCCTATACAGCTCATCGAGTGCGGTGGTCTTAGTGTCAGCATCTGTTTGTGGTGGTAAATAGAAAGCTATGAAAAATATAGATTAAAACTCTCTTGGTAAATAGTGTGGTCTACAGCTTATCATGAGATATTCTACCTCAGGCGAGCAATAACTCGACTTCCTTAACATTAGAGATCGCTCACCAGCTGTTGTTAAGAAAGAGACACACCCCTCCCCCTTTCGCCTTACCCGAGGCTGCCATCCGGTCTAGAGAATGTATGGAAAAACCAGAGAGATGCATATTATCCATGTCCTTGTTCAGCCACGACTCTGAGAAACACAGAATATTACAGTTCTTCAGGTCCCGTTGATAGGATAGTCTCGAGTTGAGCTCGTCCAGTATGTTCTCTAGTGATTGAAGAGGCGGTTTATTTGCTCGCCAACATAGTCTCATCAGGATGCCAGCTCGTTTGCCTCTATTGCGCCATCACTTCCTCTTTCGATCCCAGGCCTGGTCCAGAGTAAGCAGAACGTCCACAGCTGCCGACTCAAAGTAGAAATTGTCATCCAAATCTAGGTTAGTGATCGCTGTTCTGATGTCCAGAAGCTGTTTTCGGTCATAGGAAATGATGGCAGAGACGTTATGTACAAAAAGGTTAAGATCAGCGTAAAAAACACAAAATAGCAGGATTGGTCAGCTGCTATCCACTGCAGCGCCATCTCTCACACACACACCTTTTAAACCCCCTATGCTCCTTTGAGACCCCTCTTTCAAAGTCACTGAGATCTTCTAGCCGTGGTAGCAAAAATAATGGGCAACTGAGCATTTTTATACATGACACTGTGTGCGTGCGTGTGTGTGGGCACGCATTTAAAACATCTTAGCTGAAGATCAATAGCCAGGAGCTGCAGAGGCAAAGACATGGGCAATCAATACACTCCCTCGCTGCAAACATAAGGAGCGACAGTGAGGGGTGATAAAAAAAGAGAGGGGGGGTTAAAGAGAAGACAGAACATGAATGAGAGAAAGACGTGACAGAGGGAGAGAAGGAGAGAGAGAAAAAAGGAAGAAAAATATAAATGTGTGTAAGGTAGACAAAGGAAAGCCTGAGGAACCTTTAGATGTGGTCTCATATTTCAGTCAACTATGTCGCTCTAGACTTATCTTTCACCCATTTAAAAAAATGGCATCTATTGGGTAGCTGACTACACGCTGGCTGTCAGCCTGCACATCAAAAACTCATTCTTCAAGGTGACACCTCTCTTATACCACTGCATAGCTAGATACCCACAAAAGGCGCTCCCTTAAGTCACTCCTCATGATGAGGCCTTTCTGCAGCTCTCTGGTCAGTATAATAAAGACCATGTTTATATAACACAAATTACCAAGGGCAAGCTAGGGCAAACGGATGCCCCGTGTAATAACTGTTGCTCCCTTTGTGGTGTGTTGGAGCAGCAGCGGTGTGTGTCTGTTTGAACCTGTGGTCCAGCAGGCTGTGGTCAGCCAGGTGGTTTATAAGAAGTGCCCTCCTGCCCTGGCCTGGCTAGCTGGACACCAGACAGGCCAGAGGAGTAAACAGCGGTGTGTGTCTGTTGGAACCTGTGGTCCAACGGGCTGTGGTCAGCCAGGTGGTTTATAAAAAGTGCCCTCTTGCCCTGGCCTGGCTAGCTGGACACCAGGCAGGCCAGAGGAGTAAACTATCCACCCAGACACAGGTGCAGGGAGGGGAAGAGGGCCAGTACTAGAGGAGGGCCAGGAGCTCTTCTATTGAGCATGACTTAAAAGCCAGTCAACCACAGTACCCCTACCCAGCCCTGTGAAGCCACGTAGCCCGTGTGTGTGTGCATGTGCGTGCGCGCGAGCAACGTTGAAAAGCCTATTGCAGAAAAGCCAAGATATCTGTCCCCCCCCCCCCCTCATTTCCAACACACACGAGCGAGAGAGAACCCAATGTCTCCTGCACTCTGTGTGCGTGTGTGTGTGTGTGTGTGTGTGTGTGTGTGTGTGTGTGTGTGTGTGTGTGTGTGTGTGTGTGTGTGTGTGTGTGTGTATGTGAATGAAAGGTATGGAAGGAGTGTTGTGTTGGCTTGGCTGACCGTCTGCGGTTGTGTGGCGGTGAGAGGGAGGGTTGGGAGCGCAGAGCGGGCGTTGCTGCCGAAATCCCTGAGAAATGTTCGTTTTGGATCCGAGTCCATGCTTACATACCGCCCTCCCGCTTTTCAAGCGGACTGTCTCTCATTTTCTGTTTCATTTTCCCTCAAGGTTTAAGTTATAAATTATGAAACGAAGAGTCACAAAACATAACTTTTCAAAGCGGTAATTATTTACTTGGAGGGTCTGCTCTTCTAGTCGTGCCCCCCACCCCGCTCTGGCGGTCTCTCCTCAGCCCACACTCCCCACCATGGGTCAGGGGCAGAGGGGTGGCAGTGGTCGGGTTTCTTTTTCACTGAGGCGAGAAGTAATCGGAGGGCAAAAGTGACTCGCCCCTGTTATTCCCCTAGCACTTGTGAAAGGTGCCAAAAGCGCAGAGAAACCCACATAAACCCGTGTTTTGTGGAGATTTGTAAAAACTAAGCCCTGTTCCCCCTTCCCCCTTTGTTGCAGCCAGTGACATTTCCAACATGGTTTTGCCTTTGGTGTAGTTGATCGGCATCACATAGCGACTGACTAATCTCATTTTGATCCAATAAGTGTGTATGTGAGAGAGGGAGAGAGAGAGGGGAAGCGGGGGAGAGAGAGAGAGAGCAGACGAGAGAGAGAGGGGGGCTGGTGGTGGGAGGGAGGGAGGGGTGGATTGATCCACGGCTGTTAAAATCTTGTTCTGTTTTTTCTTGGAGTGAGGTTTGTGCCTGCCGACTGACTCGCCTCTCCCGTACAGCACTCCCATCCACGGTAAAGAGGAGCTTTTTGCGGAAGGAAAACGCTTTTTATATACATGCTGGACGCAGCTGTGTTCTTTCTGTATTTTCTCCTGTGCTTTCCTCTCGCCACTGAATGAAAGAGGGAGGCTGGGAGAGAGAGAGGGGAGAGACGGTGCAGGTTCTGGGGTGATCTGTCAATGTGATTAGGTAAACGTCGTTCAAGCGCATGCATTCACTTGTATTTCTTTACAAACAGGAGAAATAGACCTGTCTCTTCTGCACTGCAACGGTCGGTTCTAACTGAGCCATCCAGACTTTGGTGCCTTTTCAGGAAAACTGCTAACTTTCTACGTTTAAAAATTACTAAGAAGATCAGATTGCATTTTTTCCTTCAAACATTTTCGAGGTGATGTCATCGCGCTCTGTTTTGGCTGGTATTGTGTCGGAGCTCAGGGAGGACCGCAGCCAGGCAACCAGCGGTTGAGACAGCCGGGGAAGTCCGAGAAATCAGGTGCAGAGAGCGGCTGTCATTTCCGTGCTGTCGCGGGTGGCTGGGTCCGCCACCCAGTCACAGCTGTTCCCATCCTCTCCAACTCCCCCTCCCTCCATCACTCCATCCCTACCTCTCTCTCCCTCCCCTCCTCCCTTTCATTCAACTCTCTCCATCTCCATCTGAGCTGGACCGCTCCGGGCTCTTATCCACTTTATTTGACACTGTTGTTCGGTGTCCCCGGGGCCAGAGACTTCGTGACCCATCGTGGGGTCGCAGCCATGACCGAGCCCGCCCTGCAGCACCCGGCGCCCGCAGAGGCCCCTTCTTCACGCCGCCCTCGCCTCCAGCCCATCCAGGTACCCCGCCTCCCGCAGCGCCTGACCTTGCCTCGCAGGGACTAGAGAGACCTTTACGCGTGCTCCAGCCTCCGTCCAGACTGCCACTCCTCCTTTTACCATCCCTCATTCTGCGTCTCATCTCTTCAAATTCTTCTCTAATGTGGACTTCTCTCGGAATAAAGTTATTGACCTAGTATACGCTTTATTGTAGCACTACAACACCAATACGAAAGTGGATTACGCATAAGATTACCGAGAGAAAACATCGTCACTAAAACACATTGGAGAGATTTTGACTGACATTGGTTTCATTATTGATACGTAGCAGCTGAGTCGATTGGAGTTTAGCCTCTATGAGTCGTGAACGCGCTTTCACCTGTTCCTCTCCAGCCCGGAGGTGCGCAACTGTTTGATGACCTAACCTCCCCCCGCGCCCCGCCCCTCCCCGTTGCAGCGGCCACCGTGACAGCCAAGAGAGGTAGCCCTCCAGTCACAGTGGCACGGCCACCCCCGCCCAACACCCCGCGCCCTCACACCCACGCCGCCGATGCCAACGGGAGTGTCCGCTGACTCTTTGACCCTCCACTCTGTCCAGCGGATTATAAATACACAAGTGAACTCTCCGGACTGTCGGACCGGCTCTGACCGAGCGAGGCGATTGACTCTGGGCGAAGTTCCCTAGTGGAGGGGGGAAGCGATGCGGTCCCTTCTCTCCACGCTGGCTGTCTTGTAAGTCCCTCTAACCATTTATCAATAATGTTATTGACATATGAAGCACATTCTGTTTGATTGTTGTAGTGTGTTGTTTAGTCTTTGACCATGTGGACACGGCAGTTTTTCATGGGCATGGTTCATGGATGCTCTGGCCTGGGTATTCGACCTTTTCATCTCTTCCCATCGGTCACCATAGAAACGTGTCAAAGAAGGTGATTGGCTAATTAGTCAGGGTCACTGGGTCAGGGTTGGGGCTATGCCACCCATAGGACTTGTCATAAACACTTTTATAACTGCTTATTACTGGTGTTGATGTTGACCAATTCAATTGGACCTAGGCCTATAATGTACAGTACAGTAATGTATTGCATTGAATCCACCCACTATCACAAACTGTCATTGTATCATAGTCTACAACCATATTTCATGGAAAAGGAAAATGGTGAGATGCTTGCCAACTGCAGCTATGTGAAAGGATACAGAATGGAGTGCCTGAGGTTGACTATTTGAGGTGTGTCCTGTTAAAAGCCAGGGATTTTATTTGTCTTTCATTGTGTCGGCTGTACTTCTCCCAGATGGCAGTCATCTCCAGATAGTTAGTTAGTCTCTCTCTCTCTCTCTCTCTCTCTCTCTCTCTCTCTCTCTCTCTCTCTCTCTCTCTCTCTCTCTCATCATTCTCAGGGATAAATGGATAACAACCTAACAGTATCTGATGAAGAGACGGTTAGATCCAACCCTCCTCCACCTCTTCTACATTATCTTCTCCTCTGCCATCCAGGCTCTCTTTTTATTTTCCCCTCGCTCACTGAGACCACAGCCATATACTCTAACTACTGCTCCACACGAACGTTACACCTATGCTCATCCAAGATATTAGCTTGCCTGGCTAATGGCTGCTCTCCACAAACTCAAGCATTGGTTCAATGGTCTAGACTTGGAGCTATTGCTCCACACTGGAGCCTATTACACCTCTGACCACAGCTCCAAAGTGAGACCTACAGTGCTATTCTTTAAAAAAAAACACTGCTGCACGCTGGGACCCACTGCTACTCTAACCACTGCTCCACACTGGGGCCTATTACTGCTTTAACCACCACTGAGACTTACTTCTCTGCTTTTCAAACCACAACTCAGATCTGAGGCCTACTGCTCCGCGCTGAGGCCTACCACTCTAACCATTTCTCAACAGTGAGGCTCACTACCTCAACCATTGCTCCACGCTGGAGCTCCATATTTAGGCCGACTATACCTTAACGTCTACTCAACATGGGAGACCTTCAGAGACGCAGGTTTAGGATGTTTTGGGACAGGTCCAAAGGATAACTGGGTTTTCCATCTGTCCCTCTTATAGAACTATACCTCCCTCTTACAGTCTCTTTTCATCTTTGTTATTCTCCCTCTCTTCTTCATTTCTTCTGTCTTTGCTTTCTGTGCTCTCTCTCTCCTCACTGGCATACTGTGAGTGTCTGTGGTCTGCAAGAGAGAGGTAGAATCCAGAACTGAAGCACTTTTCTCTCTGTCTCCTCCACAGCAGCGCAGCAGTGATGTTTTAACAGCTGAGAGTCCTCACAATGCACAGACATCACCACTTTTTCAGCTGCGCAGGCAGAATGCAGCTTTGGTTCCCCTGGTGTCTGCATCTGTTAGCAGCCCCTATGAGCTGATACACCAGCTAAGGGGAAGATCATCAGTGTACTGTTGCATTGGAGGAGTTTGGCTTCTTGTGTGTTTGGGTTGGTGTGGGTTGTAGTATGTGGGTTGAGTGAGTCAAGTGTGAGGTACATGTATGTCTATGAGTTTGCATCAGTGGATGGATGCAATACTTTTCTCTTTACGTTTTTGCTTTCTGTTTCTCACACAACAGAATATGGGGACACCCCTTCTTTTTCTCTAGCCTCAGTATTTGTACAGTAGGAGAACCATGCTTCTCTCTCTTTCTCCCCTCCCTATCAATATCTCTCCTCTTACACAGACACCTCTCTATCTCACTCTCTCCCTGCAGTACCATGCTTCTCTCTCTTTCTCCCCTCCCTATCAATATCTCTCCTCTTACACAGACACCTCTCTATCTCACTCTCTCCCTGCAGTGCATCAGCCTTTTCTTTAGTCCAGCTGTCAGCTGCCTGCTCCCCGCGTGCACACACACATACACACACCCAGCGCACATATGCACATCTGTGTGTGTGAGGCCATGACAGTGTGTGGGGGAGTCTCCTCCATCCCTAAACACTGAGCATGGGAGAGGAGAGAGAGGGAGGGAGGGGAGAGAGTGAGAGAGAGATAGGACAGAGGAAGGGAGAAAGGGAGAGTGGTAGACCTAGAGATATGTGAGAAGGACGAA